CATACTAGGATGAAACAGTCGTCCAGTGCTTCCAGGTTTTCCATGGTGGTCTAGCTTCAATTAACTCATGATTTCAACTATTGAATTTTGATGAAAATGTTTGGATAGCATAATGAACGGTAATTGTACAAGTCAAACAATAATTGGCATCGATCTACTGAAACTAAACGACAGGAACTTTTCAAGCCTTATTGAAAATTAAAAGGAATCAATAAAGTTGTCCCCTACACCATAATAATTGCAATAATCAATATATTTTTTGTCATGACTTAATGCAAGCCATTCACTCTGAAGAAGTGACTGAAAGCAAGTTTGAAAGTATCAAATAATAGAACATAGTGTCGTTTTAGTTGAATTATCCTTGCACACAAAACGGTATGATAGATCAATATGATGAAATGAATAGCCATTAATTAAGTTAATTTGTGTTTGAACATTTTGTTCATATAGGTATGAAAATATCAGTATATAGGCAGTATCAGTTGAAGTTATTTGTCCTTGTTCCAGTGTGCAATAAAAGTGCTCTATCCAGCTTTTTCCGACAATTTTCAGTTCATTTAGTGAATGAATAATGGGTATAACAGTGTATTTTCACTGGACATTTTATTTCAAAACAGAACTCTCACTTTACTCGTATCTTTCATCTGACATGTTAGGAAGCGTCACAGTACAATTTTAGATAACTTCAGGTGATTGAAACGAAATCTTTAATGAAAATTGACTTCTTGTTTGCAACATTCACCCAATAATGACTGGATTAATGACGAAGTGCTGGATATCGAAAATCTATTGAACATGTAAAATGGTCGGACAACTTCAGGTGAAATATTTTGCTTAAATTAAGTAATATGGATTTGGAATCGTCATTGTCATCTTTTTAACTCAACAGTTGAATGCACCATTGGCTAATTGGATTTAGTAGCAATCTGAATGACTCGATAGCAATTGAAGCGATCGGTATTGGGTTTGAATCATGGAATGTGAATCAACTCTGGGATGTATGTACATCCGGCTGAAGAGTCCCAAGTAGGACGAAACGCATGTCATAAATTTCACTCCTGGACACCATTCAAATCTGCACAGAGTATATGTATTATCACTAAGATAAAATCAAAATGATCTAAACACATTAGATTATACAGCCAATGACGATCAAATAATCGAAGTCTTCTCTGTTTAGAATACAGTAGTTGGGTTTTAGTTTTGAAAAACTTGAACAAGAGGAACTTGGTTACATACAATCTTAAGATATGATTTAGTGAACAAGCAAAAAATAATGATGAAATATTACATTATTAATAGTGAATAATTCATATAACGTGCTTTTGTAGTTCATAAAAACATGCTTTTTTTACTAGGTTAACTAGTGTCCTGTCGAGCAATGATGAAAATACTGCTTATATCGATTTCTTTAGGTTAAAACTATGACCTTTAATTATTATAACAAAAACATTTTAATCATCTTATTATAATCACTAAATCTATTGTTATTGTTATTATTCATATTACGTAATCTAGTATTATAACCTTTTTTATTAACTCTGTTCACATTTCCTCACGGAATTAGTACTTTTACAAAAACAAAAAAAATTTTCATATATATACGATTGTACAACTTGATAATAAATTCGTTGAAAAGAGATCCCTTCGCTGAAATTCGTGTTTTAATTTTAATGTTTAAATGGGAACTATCTGTCAACCATAGGAAAAGCCAAGAAATTAATTTATATTACTGTTACATTATGAAATCAAAATGAAAGTTTGTATACTTGTCTTCTCGAAAATTATTGATAAATACAAAAATATAACCGTCACATATGACGTAAATGAGTATAGTCAATAAGCACATTGGTTATAAAGCTACGTTTTAATTATTATGAGAGGACAACTTTCATTTATGGTTAATACGATAGTCAACAAAACACGAAGTGATATTGCTGAGGATCATATCCACAGGAAAAGGAAAACCTATCGTCAGATATTTTACTAAGAATCGCCGGAAACGTCTTAATTGTTAGGATGATGAAACCAGAGAATTTATTAGTTCTTTTCTACAACGGACCAACTTGTCATCAAGCAGTTCATTCCAACAAAGCTTACTTTTAAATATCTCCAAAAATATCAGCTTACCATAAATAATAAAGGGCACTGTCAACTCCAGTGGGTCAAACAATGATTGATCACATGTCATACACCACATACAAATCTCACTGTCTACAAACACTGTATGCTTTATATCCGGTCTGATGAATCGGTGTTTAGGAAATACAGCACTTTTCAAAATATTTCTAATCAATCTTCTTATATAACGTTTTTAAGGCGTTAAATACAATCAGTCTTGTCTGAGAAATATTTGCGAAGTTAAATCTCGGATATATAATTGCAGGATTAATAATCCACAAGAGATAGATGACAACCACAGTCTCCTAGCCTATTGCTTCTATATTCTTTGAAGGCCTTTTCCATAATGAGCTATCTTTCGGTTCTCTGTTTTAAAGCAGTCCACACAATCATTGTTGATTCGATAAATCTCCACGTTTAAGAATAGATTTCTTTGCAATTTTAAGAGCACTTTAACAACAACATTGATCATCGTCAATATCACGTGTCTGTGAAAACTACGAGTGGTCGAATTTGCTTTGTTAACTAGTAACTCTCAGGATTGTCCTGTTTGTAGTGCAGTAGTCACGTATGGACCAGCGTTCACGTCACAAAGAATAACCTGAATACAATCGATCGTATTGTATTTGGAATTTGAATCAAGCGCGGAATATTTTACAAAGAGGCCATTACTAAATCAGAACATCACAGTAACTCTTTAATATCCGTATGAGTTACCCACTTACTGTCGTGATTCATGGACATAAATCTGTCACGTGGTGGTCACAAAATTAATCATTTTGGCACCTATTCCAGTCATAAAACGAACAGTTGTGAGAAGGGAGAAAAGAGGTTTTTAAATGGATAAGTTTTGACTTGACGAAAACTAATAAGTATATAACAGTTAGGAAAAGCTTACAAAAGCGAACACAGTTCCGTCTTCGAAATACTAATAAATGGGTTCATGGTATTGGATATGTTTATGACTAGGTCCCATCTGTTAACCAGATGCAAAGCCATGTACAAAGTTTGAATTTGTGGTGTCTGTATATAGTGATGAATACTTTGCAAATTGTTACGTGCCTAACTCGAATTACAATATAATATCTTTAGCTGTGTTCACTGTATTCTTTCTGACTTGATTGGTGTTCCATTAGTGATTACTAGAGTATGTAATGTATAATCCTGAAAACTACTAGTTCATAAATCCAAGTCTACCACTCTTATTTACCATAGATTACGAACGACGAAATGTTTGTTAAACATTATTGAATGCTATTAAAACATTTTCAGAAATAAATTCAAACACTGTTTTCTAAATGATAGTCATCCATCTGAATGCAGCCTAAGGTCTTACAAATATGTTAGACAATCCTAAATTCTGTAAGTTGATCATATGATTCACTGTTATTTCCAAGTGACATGTTACATCCATGTTAAATGAAATAAGGAAAAGTGAAAATAACCATTTGACTAATATATTTAAACTAATCTGTCATGCATAGTTAAATATCCATGAACTTATGAATTGAACCTATGATTCTGGCAAACTGAACCCCTGTTTCACATCCAAAAATGACGATATTTAGAACCGATCTATAGTAGCGAAATGTATACCTAGAGGTGATGGGCCGGTAGCATTTGATAGCAACGGTTATAAAAGACCTTTTTAATGATTATCAGGACTCCATCTTTGTTCACAGTTAACCTAAAGTCAACCTAATACAAAGGATTATTGCTGAGGGTTATATGCACACAAAGATTAGGATATTGTAAATGGAAACAAACAACGTTTGTTCTATCGCTAAGGATCACTTGAAATGATTTCTATCAAAAACCAGTCAACCAAAATCTCATTGCACCTAAAGAAATAACAAAGTCCATACCATCCCTACAGATTCGTTGAAACCTCCACAATCCACATTTTGTATATCAGTAGCAGGCAGAAGTCTGACTCGCTTTAGCTTGCACCAGGACCACGTCCACACAAGGTTATTCCCAAGTACAAAATAATTTAAACTAGTTGAGCAGCTGAAAATCATGGACAAACCTAAAACTATCTAATAAACGACTTCTGTTTAGTCAGTTAGGCTATGTCAGACTTTTCCATTTACGTTGTATTGTTCAGAAACTTTTTTATTCGTAGTCAGTTGGAGGTGATCGATAGAGAACCATGGACTTGTGTTTTTGGTAGTTGAGATTCATTAACAAAATGTATTTACAATCTCAATAAGATCTCTGCCTACCGTACCTATAATCAAGACATGCTGTATGCAATGTCCAGTTATTCAGTCGAATGGTTGTAATACATTTTGATTGAAGGAACTAGGTCAGCTCGAAAAAAATTAGATAAACGGTCAATTACTCACTGAGCAATCAATGTAATCACTCTCCGTTCGAATGGGTCACTGGTGAGATTACATTTAAACTAAAAGAGAAGACGACCTCATTTTAAAATACCTTTTATTTAATTATCGATCCCTTCAACAAGACATATAACCACTGAATAAACATGTCTTCCTAGGTTCTGATTTCATTAACCAGATGAGTCCTACTAAAAAATTTTGTTATGATTCAATGGGTATTATAATTTCTGATTTTATGCCATTTATACTTCTGTTGCATTACAAGAAAAAATTAATGACCACAAGGAATCCTTGCGATGAATCATCAATGAGTAATAAAACTTATTTGTTGCAGCTAGTTAAATAATAACGAACAAAATATCGAATAAATTGTTCAGAGACTGTAATAATCCTGATACATTCAACATGACCAGTTTCCATCTAGCTCCTCAAATCACTAATGTATATTATATCTCTTTAGACTTAAATAGATTATTGAAGTATCCTGTAATTATAATGAATAACTGATACTGAATACCAATTAAAACAATAATCTTTCATTTCGTTAACTAAATATATTTTCAACAAAAAAAAATTAAAAACAATTATAATAAACAATAGAATGTGATTGAAGTTATTGGGAATTGTTCATACATAATAGAATTTATGTAAATTGGTGAGCATTTAATTTGCATGTACATAATTTCACTAATATGCATACATACATACATACATACATTGTAGTAATAATAAAGTTTAATAGTTACCATGATATTAAGTTATTAAAAAATAATGATAAATTTAATAGGATAAGTGGGTACAGGTTTAAACCCACTACTCATAAACGAACAATTAGTTATAGATACATGACTAATCTGAATGATAGTCTTGAATTAATGTATCTTTTCTAACTAATTTATTATAATATAGAATTAAGAATATTTCTTCATAAATGATATATGAAATTCTTCAACTTGTTTCATAACATATTTCATCTTCTCAACAGACGGTAAAATAGTGGTTCTGTGTAGAAATAAATAAAAGCAAAATATAAACTTTATGAATTCATGATTTTATTAGTAATAGTGTGAAGATATTAAACAGGATAATAGTTAGTAATTCAGTTTTAACTGGCCAGTTGATGATTTAATATAAATGTACTTAATCAAGAAATGTTAGAAAACAGGTTAGGTTTAAAAATATTTCAGTCAATATTACTGTCAAATAAGACTGATGCTAACATAACATAGTAGTTAAATTTCAATCATGGAATCTTATATTTGAATTCCAACGCGTTCACTAAAAGTGAAGAGGTGAAGTAGTGGTTACGACGTTTGACATTCAGCCATCAAGTCCCAAGTTTAAAATCTGCCCCATCTACATTAGTTTATATAACCGAGTAGTGTCACTAACCTCTCGCTTGAAATATGACTTAAAGCCATGTATACGGACCTGTACTTGATAATAAGTTGATAATAATTCCTTTAGTTTGAATGCCAAAGGTTCGTATCACTAGTTATGCCTCCAAATGCCCTGGTACGGCCGAGGGTGAAAAGAGTCCACTCTCCCTCTCGAAATGCTCTCACATGGCCACACGTATACAGCCACTGCTAGGGAAGTCTTACTGACTGCTTTCTCGTGGCGGGGAAGGACGAAAAGCGAATGTCCGGCGCTTTAACCGGGTTGGTGGATATGGAGGATTCACCTAGGGGAGTTGGGAAACCCTTATTCCAAACCAATGGTGCACATGGGCTCCAGGATCCTGAAGGAAAAAATAGCGTATGAACCAATTATTGGTCACCGGCTACTATGAGACTGCATCTCCTGTCGTTGCTCCACTGGTTTATGGATCAAACCTTTAGGTCGAAGGCTTCGGGTGTAGCCCCCTAAAAAAGACCACTTGCTTCGATGTGGGTGCCACAACAGTATCACAGACCACACACAAACGAATGATAACTACTACTGGACTCATTGTTATTGCGTGGCGCAAATGCATTTGGTGCCCCCTTGTACCAATGTTTATGTGTTCAAATAAAATAATAACAATGATTCACTACCCATTGCCTATACATCTATTATTTATCATAAAATGAATACTTGATCTGTATTTATTTACGAAGTTGTATAAAAGATTAATTTGTACATACCCTAATACGTGTTTGTTAGAGTCCCCCCACCACCAAAAAAATAAAGCAGATTATTAGCTAAGCATGTCTACTAAAATTAATGCCATTAGATAGAATGTACTATATCATACAAATAACATAAAGTTAATCTAATTACCGTTTACATTTTAAGAACTGTTTAATTATAAAAATTTATCTTACAATAAGCACCAATCAACTATTAACATAATTATGACCTATATACAATGATATCTCGGAAATTTATTCAACTAAATTAGCCTTGTTAAACAAAACAATCACCAATTCAGTATGATTTGTTTACAGGGATAACTATATAGTACTTACTATACAAAGATCATATTACTTTAAATAATTTTTAAATAGTTTACATGATCATAATAATATGAACCAAGTTGATTTACAATTTATAATCAGTGTTAAAATGAAATACACATAGAGATTAGTTAAGTTAAAAACAAATAAGCGAGTTATATTTATGAAAACGTTTATATATATAAAAAGCAGGGGGAAAAAATTATAAAACTATCATAATGGTTGGTTAATCATAAACAAAATGAAAAGCAGCTTTTATTTATACGATGTTAATAATACAAAATGAATGAATGAATGAATTAGCAACATTTTGAAAATGTACAAAATATGTTCACGTCACACTGATCTGATTGAAATGATCCTTCTTTTTTTTTTAAAATAGTAAATATAAACAAAATAGTTTGCTAATATTACTAAACATGAAACTGAAGTATTTTATAGGGTGTTTTGTTTTTACTTTGTTTTTTACACAAGTAATATTGTGTATTGTGTTAATTAACTTTTCACATCGTTTCCGAAACTACATAAATGGTGGGATAAACAACAATCTTCATAAAACTGGTGTATTGAAATTTAATAGAATCAATGTAATTGAATTTAATTTGTTTGATCACAGGTTAGGACACTGCTTTAGCCTATTTCAATTTTGATAGATGGATGGTTAAAAGTTATGTACACAAACATATCACATCAGTTATAGTAGTTCTGGACTTCATTATCTAGTTGAAGAAAAGAAACTAAATTGGTCCCATACACTAAAGCCATGACGATATAAAATTCACCAATAAGATACTACATATCAGAGCTAAATTGAGGTGAATAAAGATAGTTAAGTGAAGTAAACCATATCATAGGTAATCAGCTTGACGACTTACTAGAAATGCAAACCGACAGTTATTGTAGAAAAAAAGTAGCAATGATAAAGAAATTATGGATTCCAATTCACCATGGGTTCGATTGAGATGAATGTTTCATCAGTCTTATTCAAGATGAAAACAGTCATTCACTAAACTGAAAGAACTTTTAAAGCGCTGTACGACAAGTTCATGTTTATTACCATCTTTATTACCATTAATCTATTTTCATGAGTTCTAATCACTATTTCAATGTTCCAGAACTTTCCCTCTCTAACTTTATTTATTTATTCGAATCAAACATTTTATGAGCTCATTAACCCTATCTGAATCTTCGCTACATCATCATACACATGTATTCATCCTTAATCACACTCTTATGTATAAATATGTCAATATCTGTAATAATGTTGAATTTCAAATATTTTAGGTTGTAAGCAGCTGATGAGAACCTAACGAAATAAAATGAATTCATATTATTCTGCACCAATCTTTGTTCTTGCTCTATTTAACATACTATTTGTGTGTGGGGTAGTAGTCCAGCTATTCAACTGGTGATAGATTTTGGTACTGAGGAAAACAAAATCCAATGCAGTGCTTTAAATTCCACTGCTTTGACCATTATGCAATCATTCCTAATTGAAACAGTCTTACAGTCAAATGAAAAGAAGCAGTCCTGATAGAATATTATTTGCTCAGATGAATTTAACTATTCTACATTTAAACATACTGAACTCAGGAGCTTGGAAATGTATGAAGATTAAATGAGAGAGAAATATTTTACAGTTTCCTCATATATATACCACCGAAACGATATTTTTACAAATGGATTATTTACCTGAAATGATACGTTCCTTCTTGTTGCCCAAAACCAGAACCGGGAACTACACATATACCTTTTTCTTCTAACAGTTGTAAACAATAGAAGAAATCTGGTGCTTCTCCTCTTCTCTGTAATTGACAATTGTGAATTACTCATATTACTTTTTTGGTAAAATGAAAAAAAAATTTCGGGCAAAGAATGCCAAATTAATTTTAATGAAGGCATTTTATCATTTATAGCCCTATAGCTAGTTTAAGGGGATAGAAAATATAAATTTCTCTCTATGGTAGTTTTTTTGTAAGTTAATCTTAGAAGTAGTGTTAAGCTAAAAGACTCTACGTTACGAGAGACACTATGGTTTTCAAATGACCCAGACAGTTTACACTTGTATGGTAACCTTTATCACAGTGAATAATGGATTATTAAATGGTTGAACTCATGAATTCAACTGTTAAAATCACTACAATCTCCACAAACCCCCATTCTAATAACAGATCGAAGTAAAAATAAAACGTCACAAAATTGTAGTAGTTTACTTTCGGATACGTTAATATGCCTAACACACAATAATCGAACGTTATTTTATGAAAATGTAATATCACTTTGTTTGTCATTGTCAAATTATGACTGTTTTTAATTAATGTTACTTGGTGTAAAATATTTTCCTCGAAGAAAACTTACGATTCAATAGTTCAGGGTTTCCTGTCAACTGGTTCTAACGACATAAAACTTATCCACGTTTGCGACCAAGTCTGTATGGTCTGAACAGTTCTGCTCACTAACCGACCTGACATAAATGTTTCAAAACTAAGGTATCTAAGCCTTCATATCTAATGACGGTAAAATCGACGGAAAACGTTAGTTATACAAAGAGAATGATTGTGATTTAAGGCAATATCGAGGCAATTAGTACAGGATGCACATATGTCGATAGGAGACTGACCAAGTGCAGTCCTAAACATCAACAGGAAGATCCAAAGAAACAATACAAAATGAGTTTAAAGAGGAAAAATGTTTATCTCAAACGAAACGATGAAAATAATCTTCAATAGTTTAAGCAATTGAATTTTTAATCACTGGGTTATGTGTTCAAAGCTTGGTAAATTTAAGTTTAGAGAGTTGGGCAGTGAGTGATATCTCTAGTTTTCCGTAAGCGAATATAACTTCAAGGTAAGCAAATGTATCAGCTATAAATGAAAAAAATATGTTATAAATGATACAAGTCTCATCTATTAGTGTTTAATTAAACCTACTTTAGCTTCTTGAATAGCTTTTGGTGGTAAATGTATGCATGGAAAGGCATACATTGCACCTTGAACAGGATTACATGACATATTTGGCATTGAATTCAGTGCGCTATAGGTGATATCAGCTTTATCTTTTAATGCACTTAATACATCATCTCGTTCTTTGACAAATAAGGAATATGATGGTTCACCTGGTTTAGGCGGATTCACGATTGCTTCTAATGCTACCTAAGTAGTTTTGTTTTGCACGAAAACATGAAAGATAGAATGACATTAATGAAACTGTTGGACATTCACACAAAAGTGATGCAAATGAGGAAAAAGCATGATACACTGGTCACTCATTGGAATGACACTGTCTATTTAGTAGGTTAATTAAAGAGTTTAATAAACTTAAACGTGCACGAACTCGAGTATGTGTGACGATGCTATGAAAGTACCAAAAGCAAAAATAAATGTACCATTCAGAAGCAACGTAATTAGCATATAGGAGGATATTTGATTTACTATACGAAATCCACATTCAATCCCTCTTATGGAAATAAGCACCGACGGTATATGTATTAGACAGAAAGGGGTCGCTTTTACAAGTCAATAATGATACTTCTCCAACAACAAGCTTCGATTCATTGTTGCTAGTGTTTTGTTAAGGTTCAAATTCTATTAATTAACCAGGTCGGCCGAACAGTGGTAAAATAGTTTGATGATAAATATTTGGAGTGAATCAATATGAATTTTTGATCATAGCGTTACCCAGTTTAATGGATAAATTATTATCCCTGATTGGTAAGCTTGAATTTACACGTAAAGTTTTGGCATGATATCGGTTCTAAATTAGAGATTTGACAGTAAAATGAACTCTGATAATTGTAGTCGACAAATTCGGATAAGCCTCTCAAGTTCACAGTTATATATTAGTTGTTTAATGATACTAACATAACGTTTCAAATACATATTCCGTTTCGGTAACTTGATCTAAATGTAAAAACTTGAATTCCTGATACTGGAAACTACATCAAGTGTAAAAACTGTATGGCAAAAATAAAGCTAATAAGTGAATGGAACTACTAGGTAAACTTATATGGAGATATTAATTACAACATTATTAATCGCGCTACTAATTTATGCATACTATATAATCAGTCACCTCTGCATCAATAGGCATGAACATACACAAAGGAAAAAAGAACATCCTCAAAAACAACATGAAGAACACCAACCCAATCACACTTGATGGAGAAGCTCTGGAAGAGGTGAAATCTTTCATGTACCTGAGAAGAGTTATTGATGAACAAGGAGGATCTGATGCAGACGTAAAAGCAAGGACTGGCAAAGCAAGGGCAACATTCATACAGTTGAAGAATATATGGAACTCAAAACAACTGCCAACCAATATCAAAGTCAGAATCTTCAATATAAACGTCAAGATAGTTCTACTGTAGGGAGCTGAAACTCGGAGAACTACCATAACCATCATCAAAAAGGTACAAGTATTTATAAACAATTGTTTGGCAAGATACTTAATTTCCGTTAGTCGGATACCACCAGCAACAGCCTACCGTGAGAGAGAACAAACCATCTTCCAGTTGGGGAAGAAATTAAGAAAAGACGCTGAAAGTTGATATGAGATACATTAATGACATCATCAAATGGTATCATGAGGCAAGCATTAACTTGAAATCCTGAAGGGAAACGAAAAAGGAGGATGACCAAGAACCATACTACGTCGAAAATTGGAAGCGGACATCAAAAAGATGAATAACCGCTGGAACCACCTTGAAAGGATTGCCCAGCACATAGTTAGATGGAGAATGCTGGTGGGCGGCCTATGCTCCTCCATGAGTGGTAGTGACAGGCATAAGTAACTAAGTAATATAATCAGTCATCAACTAATTCATGAATATTATAACCATTTGAATTAATTCGTAATGAAAAAGCACGATCAGTTATAAGAATTGCTGTAAACTAAATTAAACAGAAAATCTATGAAGTACTATACCTGTCCCATTAGGGGTGGACATAATCGTGCTGAAAGGGCTTTGTAAAGCTGAGTTTGAACAGCTGGATCAAAATTTAATAATTCACAATATCCACCGCGATATCCACATCTAGAATAGACAAAAATATCTAAACGGTAAATTGTTCCAAAAACGATTAACATGACAAACCATATGGCATATCCAATCGGCCAGTATCATCAGTATGAGGTAAATTAAATCGCACTTTTTAGCTACTCTGGTTTAGAAGACCCACTTGATCAACTAGATGACATTGATGGTTTTGATATGAGCTGTCTCACAATGAGCCTTAGGAAGGTGGTTTTCTCTGTAATGTCCTTACATACGTTTAAACACTTCATGGGTAATAGTTAATCAGAGAAGAGATTACAAAAGATACATGTCTAAATTAAAATAAAATCGTCAAACGAGCCTAAACAAACTCAAAGGATTTGTCTCACCACAAAGTATACATTTGAGACACTATAACTTATTGTTTATAGTAAGATTATCTTCCTGAAGTTCAATTTACCAGTGAAACACGCTACCGGTCTTCTTTTACTAGGACGAATTATTCTACGACGCCGCTCGTCAAGCTATGTAATAATACCTACCTTGAAGACATAACTGAACTAGTCTAATAACCTATCAGGTATGTAAGAAATAGTAAAACATCCTCATCTGACTTCATCTCTGCGACTGAATAACTACTACTATCGCTTATCTCCAGCTCCTTTGTTGGCACAGCCCAGCTCCAACATAGTCGTTACCATGTCTTTTGTTGTATAGTGTTCAACAATTTAGCGAAGTTAGTGGTTGCACTTGGGTTGTTGCAGTCGGAAATTATCAGTGTTATGTGGGGTTTAACGCAACCTACTCAACATTTCACAACAATACTATCAAAAAGGTTTACCCAATCCTCAGATGGGCTATAAGTGACTCAACTGACTGATGCCACTGTTAGTGTTTGTTAAGCTTAATTTTAATTAGTAGCAGAGGACTTCAACGTAGGTAGTGCTCTGATATTTATGACAGACCATCTTGGTTGAAAGTATATGAGTACAAAACGTCTTCACAATGAAAACGCTCTCAGGGTAACCCAACATTTTGCTTTAAACCAATATAACAATGTCCTATAAATGTAGAACATTAGTATAGCTTGTAAAATAGGGAATGAAGACCTCCAAAAAGGGAGGATGATAGTGAACAAAACACAAAGAAGGATACCAGAACAAGTATTTAATTATTTATCAAAAATCTTATAACAACCCACTTACTCTCCCATGTAACCTTTGCTACAGGACATGAGTGAGGCCAATTCCAATTTTCCTGAGTAACTTGGTCCCATATTGAACAAAACTTTTTTAAAACTAACCCATGGATATTTGTCCGGCTGGTAAACATTTTGCTGGTAAACTTCATCAGCTATCAAAATCAGTCGGTTATCAACTGCAAATTTAATAATATCTTCCATACATTTTTGCGGAAGTACTTGACCCGTTGGATTTCCTGGATTAATTATAACTATGGCTTTCGGTATGCACTGTCCTTTGACGCTCGCTAGTGCTCGTTTCAATTCATCAGCAGATAAGGACCAGTTGTCACTTTCATCTAAGTAGTAGTTAATCTAAAACACAAATTGTCAAATAATTAAGGAAAAAACTCAAAATGGTAGGTAGGTATAAACCAGAAGTGGTTGTTTTTATTATAAGTAATCGGATTACATTAAAAACGAATATCGTTATAATGTATGGGGATTTATTGAAAGTGAAACTGCCTGCCATCAATCACTGATAATAAAAACTACCTTGAGGTGAATTGTTGTATTAATTTATTGATGTATATGTAAATTTACACGAAACAAGGGTTTACTGTCCGTTATTAAGAACTAATTTTACAAATCAGGTTCTCAGATGGTAGATGAATTCTTAAAAATTAGGTGTGACCAGCATCGTTCAATAAAATAAGATCGATAATATGTGCGCCCATGTTTCTTTGTCTCTACAAATACAATCCGATGATAGATAGAAAAATAATCCATGATTGTGACCAGAGGTGAATTTCAAGCACCTTAATTTTAAACACAAAACTAAAGTTATCTTTCAAATTCAGCATCAGCAAGCTTAAAAATGCTATGAAACATAATTTTCAGTGGTTCAAAGTTTAAAGATATTATTAGACTCTCAAAACTTGGTGAGTTCCTGATTCCGAAAATCTATCCGAATCAAATTTATGCTAAGATGATGTGGTTGTAATTCACTACTAAATGACAAGAATTGACGAGAAAAACCGCCATATAATTGATTAAAAGCAACATTAAGAGTTATCAACCAACCTGAAAGTTATTGTATTCGGAATTTGTAGCTGAATACAAAGGGTATTGTGGTATTGGAATCATAACACCTGCGCGTTCACTGCCTCGACCGGTTGTGGATATCATTTCCAGTAACATCTAAAATTTCACAAAAATAAGTAAGTCAATCAATATCCATTAAAATGACCATATTTACCATATATAAAATAAAATAGATAAACATAAGCCGTCGAAAATTTACCACACGGTTATTTATGCCATGTGTCAGTTTATTCGTGGTTGTGTTGCGTGTTATCGATTGACTGATTATAAAAATAAAATAAATCCTCACAGATTTGCAAGATTAGCAGTGTAGTAACCATATTTTTACAAAGGATTCCAGGACCAGGTATATTCTGGCAACACTCACAGAATGCACAAATAGAAACTTAAGCTGACCAATTACAATCCTGAATATCAACGATCAGAAATCATAAACTCTAACTAATAAGTCGAGATTTGCAGGGAAATATGACCTGATGTCATATATATACGGCAGTATGTCTTGAAATTTTTTGGGTATGTGAGCGTCATCAGTCATTCAGAATCTCGATAAGAAAGCTGGTAAAATGCGCATCTTTTACTGCACGGTCAATAAGTTCTGTAGATGCCGGTGATTAGCCTTTAATGTATCGATGATAAGTGTTGGAACGATCAGATAAAAAATGCACTAAAACTCAGTGAAACGTCATTGTAAGGGAAGGTTACTTAGTCCTAATGTCTTATTACGCATTTAATTCATTATCTTATAAGTTTGTAAAGCAACAATACTTAACTTGATCGTTTTCAGCCTACTTAGTGCTTTGCTTCCCCCTTCACCTTTTTGACATATTATGCTATTTCTAAGTAGCAGCACTCTAAGTGGACACCTTTATATGATTGGCTTTCAACTGTTACTAACGTCTGTTTGGACTTTGTAGTGAAAACTTTTAAAAATCGTTGAGAATTTCGAGTGAATTTTTGAAAATCTCCCGTTAAATAATCTATTACTGTGAATTCTATCTACAGAATTTAGCATATCTTTTAAAATTCGTAAGAAAAACGCACAAAAAGTAGTCTTTTGGGCTCCATCTCTTTTAAGATTGACTCAGTCGAGGAAAATATTGAGACAACTCGACTCATGATCACTGATATTTTCGTCTAATAAAGAAGAATATATAAACCAAAAACAAGTTTTATCGTGATCGCAAGAACAATACCTTTACAGCCTCCGTAGCCCCGCAAGCTAGAAAAATATTCTCCCAGTTAGACTCAATACCATCGCGTTGATGTATATACTTTGCTACATCTTTACGAACTAACTCCAGCCCCAGAGAGTGACTGTAAGAACCTGAAATCAAGGAACGGGTGAAACATTTAACCGCAAATACTAATAATGTGTAATGAATGCATGACATGATAGTTAATGAATTGGTGCTAGTGAGATACAAAAGCTAACTTTTAGCGTACTACTTGAGTAGAAGCATAATCAAATAGCACCTAAGCCCCTCACATTACTTATTACCAAACGGCTACACCAATAGGCCTCAGTAGCATGACAAGAACTGAATCTCAGCCTGAAAATTAAACCATATCTGGTTTTAAGTAGAACAATTACTTTCACTACTTAAAGTTGGTAACATACGCTGAGTGGTTTTTCTATTTTGTGACAGAAAAGCTAGTGTTATTACGGTGCAATATATAATGTATCCGGAACAGCTTAAATCTGAATAATCAAATAAAGAACTAATACATCTCTTTCAAGCGTATGAAAGTGGCTCTTCTAACTACAAATCAGTCTTCAGTAATAAGGATAGGAGGTCTGTCGACCTATATTAATCCTTGCAGTTTGTAATACTGTGGAGGTCCAATCTCGTTTTGAATATATTAACAGACGGTGCTGATATTACGTGTTCCGGTAGGGAATTCCAGTAATTCACTACTCGGTGTGAGAAACGGAACTCCAGACGTAAACGGTTTGATCTCGGTTTTTGAACTTTCTTCGAATGTCCTCTCAAATGATCGGTTCTAGACGGAAGCAAAAGATAAGACATGTTAATACCAAGGTCATCGTTTAGTATACGATAAGCCAATATTAGATCACCCCGTACTCTACGGTAAGATAACGGAAATAAGTTAAGGTGTCTCAGTCTGTCTTCATAAGATAGGCCAGCTAGACCTTGTACCATCTTAGTAGCTCGTCGTTGGACTCTTTCTAGCATATCTGCTTCATATTTGAAACAAGGACTCGCTGCTTGAATCCCGTATTCTAAATGTGGTCGCACACAAATCGGGCATAGTAATCCAAACATTTCATCATCTAAATACTGAAATACAATTTCGCCTAGGTAATAGCCGGTCATGAATAACTGACTTCATAAACAAGTGCTTCCGTCAACGGGATTAAACATTCACCGACCTCAACTAACTGGTAACATGTGAGTTGTTTTAAAACCAGGTTACAAGCAAGTTGAATAGACTCGATGAATCCAGATTAATAGAGTAACGTGAATAAAAAAGTAAATATGATTCAGGAAACAATATAGTATTTGTACATACCGACACTAGAACCAGAACAAGCTGCTAACAAATCCTTAGCTCTTGATTTTGCATCCCCTGGAAAACTCTTCTCTTCGAGGAGATGGGGAAAAGTTGCCAGAGCAGTAACTTGACGTACGAACGTTATAAACCTTTGGCCAGTTGCGTGACAGTCACCAATATTACACTTGACAACTTCATTGAAGGATTTTTTATCACCCTGGATTTGTTCATAATATATATGGATAATACTTACATTCTTGAGTTCTTTTTCGATTTGAAGAGCACGTTCTACGATTGGCCCACGTACTGCATATTCGATTTTTATCATATTGGGATTGATAGTTTCAAGCGTTAGCACTTTATCCATGTTTAAAGCAAAGTAACGGAAGACTGATTTAGGACTTAAATTAGCACAGAAACCAGGGTCTTATTTGACCTTAATTACTGAACTATACAAACAAAAGCATAAAATACAGTTTTTGATCAACACACATTGAACCAATAAGACACATAACTGCCTGTAGTATCGTGGGTTTTATGAATATTGCTAGTTGATTACGTGAAATGCACTCACTTCATTGTTCATTTCGAAGGCGCACCCTCATAGGTGACATTACACTGCGATGCTGTTTTGTATGTTTGATCTGAATACCTCCATATTTATTCGTGATATCATATTATCTCTGCTGAATGAAGTTGTTGTCACTGTATCCTCAACGCTTAGAACCAAACACAGCCCAGTTAATCATGATTTTTACCTACACTCGAACAGTACATATCAGCTTCATCAGCAAACCGTTCGGATACGAAGCTAGACATTCATAGAAATACTCGCCGTGGTGTTTCACTCAGGCTAACTTTATATTTCAGAGTATTAAAAAGTTTATTTGGGTGACAAACGTAAAATAAATTTTTATCAACTGATGTTACACATTTGAAGTCAAACTTTATTTAATAGATGTTGATAATGAAAAGTTTGGAGTAAAATATTTTGTATTCTTTATTAGGGATGATAAAATAATCCTACTTTATCTGAGGCGCAAAAATGATAATGCAGGTTCCCTCCGATAACTACTGGTACCATAACTACTATAATATATAATTTCACTATCTTATTCGGAAAAACACAACCAAGATATTAAGTTTTTACGACAGACTACTGGAAATCAGAATAGATTCTATTGAGCGAATCTACATGTTGACAGATATCTCTCACCATCCCTAAATTAACACAATGAATTACTGAGAAACTCTAGAGCCTCAATATGTTTGCCAAACAAACTGACGTATAAGATTGGCAGATATAACGAGAGACGAGAATATGATAATCGATATTGGTGAAACCAACAAGTACCTTAGTAACCGTATAAATTTATATAGTTTTACAGAGATTAGATGGAAATTACCTTTATTAAGAGGACTTGGTGGCAGACATCATCCGTAGTCTTTGGCTATTCCCTTTGATGTTAGCTAACGACTTGACAATCAAACCATGATATATCTTAGTTTTCTAATGTTAATTAAGACGTTTTCGAAGTGTAAATACTAATAAACAATACACCATATATGGAAAAATCACCGTTCCATCAGACAATTACAAGTTTTTACTTATGTCATCATCACTGAGACATTCAGTTGATATCTTTCTGACAAATTATTATCGATGCAATCGGATACCTCCATTCCGTCGCACTATCTTTTATGTTTGTACACATGCGTGAGTGTCTGTGAGGAAGTTCACCTAATATTGATTCTATGCTCCAGCAGCTCGTTATTTGAGTGCAAACAAGGCTACCTTCCTTAATCCTCCCGTTTCTCTATACTATGAACACTTTCCAAATGATAACAACTTTTTGTTACATCTTGACTGTAAGACTGCTATTCTCAGCACCCCTGTTCTAGAGTATCCCATGATATTTCGTTTTCAAAGGGTAATATCACAAATCATAATACTTGACATTTCAACATTCTCAACGTTTCGCTTAATGTTTATTGTTTTTTAAACTATACTGGTCTTGTTTCATTCAACCTAATAATCCGGCAAATCCTGTATCAATTTATCGCTAAGTAATAATCGATTTTTTAAATTATTGATTCTATCTACCTGCTCGAGGACAGAAATTTTTTCCCCTTCATCTGATTATCCCCATTTGGTGGACAAATATTAGGCGTTGACGGTTGTGACTGTCCTCTCATGTTGTTCAGCTGATAACCTTGGAGTGAGTTTAGTTACTCCATCAAGTAAGAATAAAACTCGGTTTCTTTTCGATGGGGGCATCCTAATTCTTTGGTCTGTATTCTACAGTTTGGTCGTAATTGATTTTTCGGATTGAATTCGGATATACATTTCTAACCATAAAAGTGTTCGTGTATCGTGGAAGTCTTGAACACTGTAATAATAATAATAATAATAATAATAATTTATTCTCAAATAACAGTTTGTTACATGAGGCATGCCAGTTTACAGGCAAGATCAAATTGGTACAAATGATACAAGATACACTGTATTAAATTACATAGCTGGGTTGAAAATTTACAAGACATGAATGTAGATTGTTTTAATCAGTACTACAGTTGGCGCGCTTCATGAAAGTTGCGTTGCGAACGTGCGACTGATGGTCAAAGATAGGTACATTGAAGGTGGGAACTTCTAGAAATCGCAACCTTATGTCCCTTTGGGATATCCAAGGCTTTAAGGATGGTGCAGGATGAAGTAACCTGTTCCATATCTCAAGGGGGCTGAAAGAGGGAGCAAGTAAAAGAAAACACGAGAGGCAGAGTAGCCAATATTCATGTAGGAATGTTTAAGGTATGATTACTCAGTCTAATTTTCCTTTATTAAGGTATTTGTTAAGAAACAGCATTTTAATAGGTTAAAGAAAATAAGCTTTAGCAAGGTGTGAGTGGACATACAACTGACAAATGGAGGCGATTCGGAAAAGAGCTGAGAGTATAAGATTATGTGTGATTATAAAATAAAATATAGTGCTAGAAACAGTATTGTGATATACAACTGGCTATCTTCCTTTTATTATCGAAGCTATTAGAGCCCCTTCCGTTATTTTTTTTTATTTGTTTTTTTTTTCAGGTTTTATAGGGTCTTGAGTAGGCTTCGTATATTAGCGAATTGTCTAGTTTGCTTGTAATAGGATTTCTGAGTAGGAAGTGAAACCAATTCAACGTTCGTAACACGATTTAAAGAGGTATTTTGCGTGATAAATCAGCTTCAATACCTTAAGTCCGTGACATCCCACTAAACCATAAGGAGCCGTAATTAAACAAAATGTTCTGCCCTACAGACATGGGTGGATTGAAGTTAACTCCCCACCTTCATGTTTGCTGGTCAGTAACGCCACCCTCCCTCCTTTTGTGATGTTAGGCTCTCTTACATTTGTGGTAAGTATGATTAATGCTTTAATCAAAGCACATAGTTGGAATACACTGTCTCTACTAGGTCCATGTTACAAGCAAATCAGATATTTAAAAATTCTGTTTTATGGGTTAGATGTCCATATAGTATATCACACTGCTATGAAAATAACTAATGGTTTAAAGAAGTAAGGATTAATAGTAAATCAAAAGATATGAGAGGGTATAAAATTGTAGAGAAAAAAAAAAAGAAAAAGACTTCAGGGTGAGAAAAATAAAACATTGAGAAACTCACAAGACTTTGTGACCAAATTTTGAGCTTTGAATGATCGGCCTTAGTAGATCAGCATCCATAAGAATGAGCTATCTGTCTACTTGCAGTAGAAAAAAAAAACATGACATTTAGGGAGAATAATGTACATTTAACCTGTAGAGATTTGGGGACTGAAAGCTAGGGTTGGGAGCATGAAATCATGATTAATAAACAATGAATAATAGGAAAGGATGAGCCATATATCCTGTGATTTGGTTATATTCAGATTAGTAACAGTCGAACTTGTTATAATTTTGTTCTTTCTAGATACTAGGCGGTCCGTAATAAAGTGCCTCATCGGTGGGCGGGAGTTCAAGGTAATGTTGAAGCTCTTTGGAGTCTAGATATAGGGTTATTAGCTTTTTGAATCTGGTAAACGTATCACAGTTACGGATAGGCATTGGCAGCCTGTTCCACAATAAACTGTACCGTACTGTAAAGAACTTACAAAGCATTTGTTTTTGGTGTTTTACGGTAAGTAGTGTATATGCGTTGTTTCTAAGTCTATAGGCTGGGTCGTGGGTGATAGTCGGGCAGGAGGTTAGAAAGGAGAGCCCATATATCGCTTTATAGAGAAATATTAAATTGTGTTTTAGCCTACGGTGCCATAAAGGTTCTAAAGATAGATGCTTACATCTGTCTGTGTAATCGAGATTCGAGTTACATCCTAGTAGTTGACGTGTGAAACGTCTTTGAACATCTTCTACTCTTATCTTGTCTGCGATATTCATATTAGAGAAGACAAAAGAGCAGTATTCAAGGGTGGGTCGTACACATATTTTGTAGAGAGTAAGTTTACCCTCTGTTGTGAAAAAGTTTTTCATTATAAAACCAATTAGCCGTCTAGATTTAGAAATAATAGAGGAGGCATGTTCTTCAAAGTTTAGGCTTCCTGTGTAATTAATTCCTAAATCGTGTACTGATTCGAGTGTTTGGACTATACATTCATTTAAGTGAAGTCGCGGTTTATAGGGATGCTTTCCAAAGTGCATGATCCCGCACTTGTCGAGGTTAAATGGTAATTGCCATTTTTCACTCCATATAGTTAAGTTATTGAGGTCCTTTTGGATCTGGGATACACTTTCGCTTAGTGTCTCAGGCTTATAGCTGTATACTATTTTGAGATCATCAGCATATAAGTACGGTTTCCCAAATTCTATGGTGTTACATATATCGTTTATATACATAAGAAACAAAAGTGGCCCTAATACGCTTCCCTGGATGACTCCACTGGTGATTGGTCTAGGGGACGAGAGACAGTCATTGTACTTTACCATCTGTTTACGTTCTGTTAAGAACGAAGCAAACCATGAGTACAGTGGGTTGTGTATTCCGAAGGACTTTAGTTTGACGAGTAGCCTTTTGTGTGGGACCTTATCAAAGGCTTTCTTAAAGTCTAGGAATAGGACTGATACAAGGAGTCCGCTGTCTCGTTTCAGAGTTATATCATTCAGGTAGTCTACTAGGCATGTATCGCATGATCTGGACCTAAGAAATCCATGCTGGGAGGTCGACAAGAGATTGTTAGTTAATAGATGTTGGACTACAGCCGCTTTAACTACTTTTTCCATCACTCTGGATACCACTGAAGTTATGTTTATAGGCCGGTAATTTTCAACGTTTGCTTCAGGTCCTGTTTTAATTTTGGGAATGATATGTGTAGTTTTCCAGGCAGTAGGGTAACACGCTGAAGAGAGTGATATCGCGAATAGTTTGAGAAGCAAAACACACATATCATCACCTCCACGTTTTAGCATGCTAGATG